CCGCGAGAGAGCGAGCCCGATAGAACGTAGGTCAGGAAATGCGTTACAATGTATTGTATATTCGTATTCAATGGAAAACCAATCACTATAGCTAGTTTCAGTTCTTCTAGTATATATGTGCTGTGACGTGATTTTTCGAATCACGGTCCCAAGGCGGCTCCGGTTACCCTAACAAAAATATGCAGATGTTTAAGGACCTGTATCAAGCTTCCGTATCGTCTAGAATCGGCTTAACATCTTGAAAATTATTTCCTACATTTACAGGCAACATCATTCCAGTTGTAACTGCAAAAAATGTTCGTGCGCGTGCAAAAGGAAATGCGCAGTTATATAGCTATGTATATCCCGCCATAAGTGCGAAGATACGACATTTTAATCTGAATTTTCCCTATTTATTAAATATTCCACCACTTTACAATGCATATATACATGCGTATACATATACATTAGTAGAGTTTAATATATATTGCGACGATATTCCCCAAAAACAAAATCCCAATAAGAAATTAGACGATAAAAGATATTCGGAAAGTAGGGAACCGTACACAACACGCCGTATGATTCTCTCTCAATAAATTTCGGTATTCACAAGACCCGATACGCGATAAACTGAATAGTGTTGGGCGCCAGGTGATCTCCGGGAAGAACACCGCGAGTGCAGGGCACTCGAGATCTTAGAAATTCTGAAGAAAACGCGGGACAGCTCGGAACAACGAAAGGGAAAAGGAAACAGGTAAGGCGACACCGTCAAGGGAAGCGAGGTGGGACGATAGGAACGGCGACTCCGCCAAGAAGAAAAGAGACAGATAGGTAAACGGCGACTTCGCCAAAATAGAAGAGAGGAAAAGCGATAAACGGCGACTCCGCCAAGGTAGAAAAGAGAAAGATCGATAAACGGCGACTCCGCCAAGATAGAAAGGAGAAAGATCGAGAAACGGCGACTCCGCTAAGATAGAAATGAGAAAGATAGAGAAACGGCGACTCCGCCAAGATAGAAGAGAGAAAGATCGATAAACGGCGACTGCGCCAAGATATAAAGAAAAAAGATAATAAACGGCGACACCGCCAAAATATAAAGAGAAAGATAATAAACGGCGACTCCGCCAAGAACGTAAAAGCACAAAGCCACAAACGCCAAATAGGGAAAACGAACGAGACACGAGAACGGCGACACCGCCAAGATAAGAGAGGGAAGCGCGAAGGAAAGTAGGAACAGAAGCGAGAGAGAGAGAATCAATCGGTCGACGAAAACTCCAATAATTATACCCGGTTCAGAGGCTAGCTCACCTGGGAGAGCGTCGTGGCGTTCAAGAGGCTAGACGGGAGAAGGAATAGACATGCGATATAGAGAATAGGTAAAAGAAAGATAGCAGAGAAAAATAAGTAGGTTTAACGCACCGAAGCTATATTAGAAAAAGCAAGAAAAAGCGGCATGCAAGCCATACAGCAAACTACAGCGTGTTGAAAGCGGAACAGATAGAGTAAATTGTTAGCGAGATTCAATAAGGTGCGAAAGCGAAGCAAGTAACAAAATCCTTAAAATAATAATACAAAGCAAAGAGTTCTTGAAGGATTCTATATAAACGAAAATTCTTAAAACGAAACGCGGAACTAACGAGGGACTATGGCCCTGTACCGATACGACACGGCAGCGGGACGGATCCGCGCCGACGCAAAAGATACTTTCGACAATATTTCAATAAATCGGGGACTACGAAATACACGCGACAACAAAGGTTTAAATTCGTATCGGTACGAAAACGCGGCAATAAATTCACTCTCGAAATTTCCCGACAATTGGAAAGAATCAGAACACGCACGATATAAATATGACGATCAGCGCACAGGTAGAAAATACACTTAAATAAATTAACACAGGCAATACAAATAAGATAACCTAGTTAAAAGGAATGGCAAGCTCTCGAGAAATTATCACAAGAATAGCGCGATCGGTAGAAATAAATTAATAAGTACGCCACTGATAGTCAGTGCGTCCTTTATTCTCGCATCAGGCGAGTACGCACGAAAAAAAAGGTGACTCTACGCTCGACCAGCAGCGTAAGGTATCGAAAATATTATACTAAGACAGTAATCACAAATTCCCCGAAATCGAAATATTCCTTTACGAAAGAGGAGGATGCCATTCCTAGTAACGAAATCGAGAAATACATGAGCAATATCGGGCAAAGAAAATAATTATTTCAAGTCAAAATTCAATATAATAAAGCGACATATAACGCCGGAAAAGATAGAAAAGCCCAAAAGATATTCGCTAGAAACAACTAAAAAGACTCAACGGGAAACGGCCAAGCCGGAGACGCCGGGACGCTAGGTGTTTCCACGTGGCCGAGAAGATAATCTGTAACTTATAAAATATTCGACAATTCCAAAGCACTAAATTACAGCCGAACGCAATTAATTACAATATATTCGATATAATAGAGACTCTACGATAATAAAAGAAAAGCGAAATAAGATAACGGTATCCGGTACTATCGTCCTTTTACTTAGAGAGACTGGAACGACATTCAGTCCCGGTAAGCGCGAAAATTCGCCGTCGAGGCAAAGTGCCTAGACGGGATTGCTTCAATTAAATTCACAAAATCTCCAAAAGAAAGGTAACGAAAGGTGCTTACCAAAGAGGTCCGGTACGGAATCGAGGAAATCGGTCCTCAGACTTCCTTCCTTCCTTCCTTCAATATAATATAATTGAGGTAGAACTCGGCAATCTGAATGGGTCGAACCCAGCTCGTCTTTGTTCGCTCGGAATTACTTTTGAAAATCAACCACAGGCTAAGATGCTCCAAACGTAAGTGAACGAGCCGGAATTCGTCGCTAGAGGAAGAGCCCTAGGGGCCCCCCTCCATAAATTATTAATTCCTAATTCGCACGGTAGAGCGATAACACAATATAATACTACAGAATAGGTAAATCTAACGCTTGACGGTAGCCAGAGACGAAGCATTAGGCGCTAGAGTCCGAAGATAGGCGGAGAGAGCCGAGCTGAGCGCGGGAATCCTTGGTGCGGCCGATCGTGAGTCTTCGGTGCGAGCAGCAGGATTCAGCGAAGAGTAGGCCCTGGTTTCTTCTCCGGGGGCCACTGATAACAGGAGCGCTAGGGAACGTTCGGCGACTGGGCGGCACGATAGAGGATTATCCTTTCCTCCTATCGGCGGCACGAGTGGCGAAGGCCCTGTTTTGCGGTCCGTATGGGCGGCCGGCAGAAGTAGTAGAGGGATCCCATCCCGGGTCTCCTTGGCTCCACGGAAGTCCTCCGGAACGAACAGCAGTTTGGTCCAGCCTCTGTCGATAGCTCGTCCGGTAACTCAGGAACACTCGTTGGCGGTCAGCTTCGTGCTCGTGGTGTAGACGTAGATTTGCCCAGGACGGTAAAGAAGGTAGGCGAGTGCGAATAGGAAAGCTCAAAAAATAAAAATAAAAACGAAAAAAGCAGAAAGGCGAAACAGAAATAAGCAGAAAGGACGATAGGCGGAAACAGAGTGCAAAAACGATAAGCGAGACAAGCAAAGTCGTCTTTGGAATGTCGGGTGACTGACGTTTGGAGGATCGTTGCAGGTGGATTGTGTCTTGCCCAGGACGGTAAAGAAGGTAGGCGAGTGCGAATAGGAAAGCTCGAAAATAAAAAAATAAAAGCGAAAAAAGCAGATAGGCGGAACAGAAATAAGCAGAAAGGACGATAGGCGGAACAGAAATAAGCAGAAAGGACGATAGGCGGAAACAGAGTGCATAAACGGTAAGCGAGACAAGCAAAGCCGTCTTTGGAATGTCGGGTGACTGACGTTTGGAGGATCGTTGCAGGTGGATTGTGTCGGTTCCCTCCTCCTAGCAATCTTTGTGACTGAATTTCCGAAATTCACGTCACAATATATATATACACATAGGTTTTCTAGTTTATATGTATGTTTTTCTAGGTATATAAGGAATAATGCTACCGTCGCAAAAATGGGAGAATATGCAGTAGTAAAATTTTATGAGGAAGACGTGGTGTCTGAAGTTCCAACTACTTGGATATGTGGAGACAAAGAGAGACCCCTGTGTCGGTGGCCCAAAAATTCAAAAAATATTTCTCTATTAATATAAAAAAAAGTACCACCAAATGGAACATGGGAAACATATGACGTTGAAGTCGAGCAACAATGTTGTGAGTATATCTATGAGCAATTAATTTTTCTGGGCGAACTTTATAACTGAAGCATATATATTTTAAATGAATTTTAGTGTCCTTAGATAAAGCGCGCAAGATGGTAGAATATATAAGTTGCAGTTCATCAGATGAAACACAACTTGGAAGAGGGCGGAGACAAATTATCCTTAATGTACAATCTACTTCAGAATCAGAGGACGATCCGCAGGACTATGTAACGTATAGTCAACAGAAAGGTTGATGGAAGAATATTTTTTATTGTTCAATCAGATTTGATATACAAATATGATTTTTCGGGAAAAAAAAACCAGTTCTACTATCACCACCAATTGTACCTTCGACACTACGTAAACGACATTTCGTAACAGAACAGAACATTGTAGATGTTAACAAAACAATCGGTACACGAGAGATATTGTTTATATTTCAACAATAAGTCTAAACTTATAATAAATCATAATTAATGTAACTTACAGACCACACGGTTCATTTGCCATCAGCTGACAATATTAATATTCAGGATATATCGCTTCTCATGATGCCCATCTCTAGTCAAACTAATAATAATATTGGTTCATAATACATCACATTATCATAGAAAATTTCTTTGACACAAATTTTCGTAACCATGTATATTTTTATAATGATTTCAGTGGACATAACTACTAGCCAGGATAATAAACAAACGAATGACATAGTACTGCTGAATGAAACAATTGATGGTAACATTTGGTGGATTATAATGTACAGATTCAAGTATTATTACTATATCAACGTGACACCAGTGTTTTTGTTAATATATAGAATGCTTTTCCAAGCACACCCGGATGCTCGCCTCTATTAATGTAAACGTAACTAGCATCAAGAAACGGCTGTCTAAGTTACAGACAAATGAGATTAAAACTCTCCAGAACGATGCGCTCATCAAAGATTTTTGACCAATGAAATCCGTAGATAATATTAAAACATTTGAAAATGTTTTGCATAATTCAAAAGATGAGGCTTCCCAATTCGTAAGTAGGAATGGATTAGTTTATATTGACTGAATAATCGTGTTAATTTACTCATGTTTTAAACTATGGCCATATTTATACTTAGGCTGCCCTGATTAGTAACATTGGGGGAAATTCGCCCAAAAATAATATTCAGCGAATATTGCTACTGATTTTTGACAATTCCTGCGCTACTCAATGTTCCTGGAAAAGATTGCGCAACAATTTTGGTGTATCAAAGCTAATTGCTATAAAAATTATGAAAGGTATAATATTGTTACTACGTTTTTATTTATAACTTTATTTTTCAATTGATTAAAACCATATTATTGTGGTATTCCTATTCTCATATGGCTGGGTCTAGGAGGCAATACACTGGGGAAAAGATTTAGAACAATTTATTCAATACTGCACGTCTTACACTGTTGCTCGTACTCTCGCACGCGTTACACTACTGCGTGGCGCTGCCCTCCGTCGGTGGCCTCGCTTAGCTCGCTCTTTTACCGCCACCTACTTATACGAGCCACGAAACGCTACGCACCCTACATTATATTATAATTTTCCTAGACTACATAATAGCCACATACCCGTTTTTCTAAGCAGACCAGATTGAAGTTGTAATAGCTGAATGGTTTCGGTTTGCAAAACAGAGATTACATAGAGAGACCAAGGAATCATAATGTAAGAGCTTGAGACGATTATTTCTTCTTTATGCGACCTGTATTCAAATTATTGCAAGGTTGTAATGATTTGATTGTTATTTGTTAACAAGTTTCTTCGAAATCCTAGTCAAATAGGGAGAGAGAGAGCAATACAATACATACATTATAATTATAAATGTTTTATTATATCATAATAAATATAAGATGCGATCAAAATGTATGCATTATTTAGTGTAAACCCAAATATACATCTTTTGATCTACATGATACACGGGTTATATAAATGATATCAACATGTAATATAACAATCGCATGTAAGTTTGATAACATTCATATAACAATATTCTGTAACATTGATAAAAACGTGATATTCGTTTGAGTGTCTCATTTTAACTTACCTGCGAGTCACTTGTAACAAACATGCTATATTACTTGTTACATTGCGTTATGCTACTGTTACATTTATATTATGTTGCAGTGTTTGCTGGGTGACAGTTTGTTTTTCTGGTTTCTCGCTGTGGATCTAGATTCGACCAACATCAATCGGTACAACTACCTTATATGCAACACAGCATGTAGCATTAGCAGGGTGGTCCTCTCCACAGTTTACGAACTTGGCTGGTTCCGTTGGAGGTTTTTTGCAGTCCTTTGTTAGGTGTTCTCCGGTACATTTAAGGCAGGCCGCTCTGGCGTAACAGTTAATTGCGGCATGGCCCCATGCCTGGCATCTGTGGCACTGAGAGGTTCTTCTCTTGTTTATGAAGTTATCCCATGTGATTTTCGTATATCCTAGATAACTTATTTGCTGTTGTATTTACTTGAGTATGGTGCTTACATTGGCTGTTTTGTGTTTATATTGTGCACCTTCCCAGCAAACACTGCAACATAATATAAATGTAACAGTAGCATAACGCAATGTAACAAGTAATATAGCATGCTTGTTACAAGTGACTCGCAGGTAAGTTAAAATGAGACACTCAAACGAATATCACGTTTTTATCAATGTTACAGAGTATTGTTATATGAATGTTATCAAACTTACATGCGATTGTTATATTACATGTTGATATTATTTATATAACCCGTGTATCATGTAGATCCCCACACTGAACAGAAATATTTTATCAATATTGCCAAAAGTTTCCCTTGAAATAATGCAATATTACGGAAATATATTAAAAATTGTTTAAATATTTCTGGAATGTTGCAGGAATCTTGCAATGTCCGCTCAGCACGTTGCAATCACAATATTGCTATAATATTGCCGGTCAATATTTCGGAAATATCAATGCATAATATTAATAAAATATAACTCAGATAGCACCTGCGTATTGCTAAAATGTATTGCAATATTATTGCAATATTTCTTGAATATTGCTGTAATCTTACACCATTCACTCTGGTGCAAAATATTACCGCTCAGCACGTTGCCATCACAATATTGCTATAATATTGCCGGTCGATATTTCGGAAATATCAATGCATAATATTAATAAAATATAACTCAGATAGTACCTGCGTACTGCTAAACTGTATTGCAATATTATTGCAATATTTCTTGAATATTGCTGTAATCTTACACCATTCACTCTGGTGCAAAATATTTCAGTATAAATGTCGTATTAATGATACGACATGTAAATGATAAGAATGATGCATTAAGCGGCTTAATTATTTACTCGGTCCTACGTTCTTTCATGCGAGTTGCCTTGGCCACCTAGTGGCGCGGCAGCGAACTAGTGTTCGCTCGGATACTCCGTGTCTGGTTAGGGACTCTTGTCACAGAGTATACCGAAATTTCTAGTCGGTTATGAATTTATTGATACCATGTAGATAAACTATTTTTATTCAAGTATTGTAATTTTCAGTCCTGAATGTATAGTTGCATTACGGTTGATTGAAAATTCTTCAACCTCTTAATAATCAGAGTCGAATATATTATATTCGCTAAACGCATAATAAAATTAATGCTTGATTACAATTTTACAAAACAATGTACATCAATACTCATTTGGTTACTCTTATTATGGTTGTTATAACCAAAATGTTATATAATAGTTATACTCATTGTTATGTACCACCTTTGCGAAAATATCATTGAGCAGTTATGTTCTTGTAATGTACAAACTTTTATATTACTTGTTACACCCAGGTAATGTAACTACTATATTCAGTGTTTGCTGGGTTCTAACTGAGAGACTCGAGTTCGGTTTTTAAATCATGCAAATCTATGTTTTTGTGCAATCCTCTTATGCACGAAGGTGCACATTTTAGCTTGTTTACTGGTGTATGTATGAAACTGGTATTCGTTTCTTTCCCAAATGCTTTTTAATTTTTCAAACTCTGCTTTATTCGATGTAAACACTTCTGTGAAGTCTTTGTGATACTTCACGTGGAATTTTTCCCGGAGGATGTCTTTCAGTACTTTCACAAACATTGCATGCGATTCCACTATTTCATGAATGACTAGTGGAGGGGGCTTCTTTGTCTTCTTAGTGCTGCGCGTTCTGCTTGGTCCTTTGTCATTCAGAGGCGCCAGGTTTGGGTCTTCGTTCGTCTCCATATCGGAGGTCTCATCTTTTTCTTCCTCATCCGATAGGGCGGAGAATCGGTTTTGAATTGCGATGCCACTATTTTGCCCATCGTGTTTTTTCTTTTTTATAGAGCTCATGTCTATGTTATTTATTTTTCTTTTTTTGGTGATGAATACATCTTCAAATTCATTCGTCGTTAGTTTTCCATTAAGGGTTTCGTCAGGACTTTTGGGTGGCTCTTCACCCACAATAATTATTATATATTATTGTATTTTGTTATATTAATGATTCTTTGATAATACAATGTTTTACTGCAATGTATCTTTGTTTTAAGAGGTATTGTTCTATTTAGTATTTCACTCACTCGTGAGATTTCAAAAACACCGCACTGAGCACATCCGCTCCGTACTACGGTCCGCACGAGACTCACTGGACGCGAGTGTATAGTATCCCATTCAAACAAATGTTTTCTCTGAAATAATAATTAACGGCGTGTTTCGTATACGATTGAGGTTAAGAGGTTAGAATTTTCAAATGTCAATACTTATCGATATAATACTTAATCTCGTGTTAAATTTTGATATTATGCAATATAATATTATTGTTAATACTTACATCATAGATAGAATTTCGATAAATTGTTAAAAACGATAAAAAACAAAGAAGGCCAAAATGCCGCACACGATAACACATCTCATATGCCGACCAAAATCGCAGAGTCGCGGGCGTCAATTCACGGCAGCAGCGTGTCACCGCTTACCATATTTTATAGTAAAAAGTATCAGTTTTCATATAAAAACTATTAAACGTCATGGGAAAATTTGTGATAACAAAAATTATTATATTATTTAGTAAAATTTCTTTTCTGTTAGAATAATATTTGCCAGAATGTCGCTACAGTCACCATGTAAGAGAATTTTATGGTACTTTCTACCCGATAGTCGGTACTTTGTACCAGATCCTTCTCTCCGTGTACCGGGTGAGCTATGCTACCTGCTCGATTACTATAACGCACTTGGTGGATATAAGGTGTGTTCAGGTAGAAATCTTTCCGTACTCATTCCATATATTCTTCATTCGAAGATAATTTCCATGCGATAAATCACTTACAAAACTTATAATTTCACTCTGGAAATGGAATTTGTCAAAAACGATGTGCTATTGAAAACTAATATCAGAAAACGTTAAACAATCAATGATTGTTAGTAAACTACGAATTCTTTGAAGAGTTGATAAAATGAAAAAAAAATGGAATTTCACATTGAAAAAATTATGTAAATTTCTTATTTTTTAATAATTTTTATAAAATTTATTAATAAAGTTCAATAACTACTCGTAATAACTAAAAAAAAAGTTATATACAAAAAGAGTTGAACCCGCAGCCTTGCGACTACCAGGCAGGCTCAATACCTCATTTATCAATACCTCAGCGACCTACCTCACTGTTTTTTCCTTGGCCAAGTATGTCACCTAACTGCGGAATTTATAACAGTCTACGAATCTGTTATACAAACTACAGTTCCGCGGGACCGACTGCGAAGAGGGGAATAACGGGATGAGGAAGGAAACATTAGATAAAACTACTATTTTTTAATTATTTTATTAATAAGGTTTTCTAATATAAAATAAGTTTTCTAATGGCAACAGCGGTGGCCGCAACACTTATGGGCTCCGTTGTTGTTGTTATTATTACTATTATTATTGCGGCACCGGGGGCGCTCTTTACGTGGCCACCCCCACCCCCACTGCGGGTAACTTCAACTATAAGTCGGGGGGTTCAACGGTGGGGCACTATTCTGCCATGGCTGCTGCTGCAAAAAATAGATTCATTATTTATAATAACAATAATCATAGGAATGATAACAGGATACAGATGAACAAATATTTTTCAAAACTTACCGAATACGCCCTGGTGCCCCACGGCGCCGCTGCTGCTTGGCGGGGCCCATAGCTTTGCGACGGGGCCGCAAATTGGGGTGGCCCGTAGCTGGTGGGCGGTGGCTCGTACAAGGGAGATGGCCCGTAGTTGGTGGGCAGTGGCCCGTACATGGGAGATGGCTCGTAGATGGG